GAGCGTTGCCGTTTATTCATAATAAATTTATTGTTTACCACCAACAACAATTTGTTTACCGTTTACGGGCTTTGTACGCGTATAATTCACAAATCGATAATCAATAAATCAGCTTATAATAAAACAGTAAACAAGAAGGAGACAAATATTGTAGCACTTTGACATACGGATTTTCTCGGTAATGCTTAGCTCGTAACATACATACTCGTACATATAGTATAATTATGTATGCGGGTGTGGTTGCCTAGGACAACATCCTGCTCTCGCACACACTATCTCATTTCGAGAGGCTCAACTGCGTGTAGGTGCTGCGGTTGGGAATATAGAGGTTGCTTGTGAGTTATTAATATTCAAAGGTAACACACACACCCATATATATAAGTGTATATATATAAAGGATGATTTTTAAGGAATTATATTTTTGGCAACACTGGTTTAAACAGCTGACGCACGTTTCGTGTTTTGTATCAGTGTCAAACATCTTCAGTTTGGTCTATAATATAACTTGGAAGCTTGGAAGTTATTTAATTTTATTATCAAAATTCGTGCTTTGTTAGGAAAGTCTTAGAAAAAGAAACAAAGTGTGTTTAGCGACGAAGCTCATTTTTGGCTTAATAGGTGCGTAAATAGCCAGAGTTGTCGATTTTGGAGTGAATATCAGCCAGAAGCTTTTCAAGGATGCATGGTAATCCGGAAGTCACGATTTGTGAATGGTGAGCGCTACTGTGAGATGATATCGAACCTTTCTTTGCACAAAATGCAAGAGCTTGACTTGCGTGACATGTGGTTTCAACAAGATGGTGCCACACGCCACGCAGCACGCGTAACAATAAACTTATTTAGAGGCGCCTTCGGACAATCCCGCTTCAATGGACGCTGGAGGACAAACATTGAAGCATTTATTCGTGGGATACCGACCGAAATGTTGGGAAGAGTATGCCAAAATTGGACTAAGCGGATGGGCCATTTGAGGCGCAATCACGATCAACATTTGCATGAAATAATCTTCAATCATTAAATTATGTGGACCGTACTTTCGATTCAAATAAAGATTGCATGTATTTTTCTATAGCTCTTAAAAGATCACCCTTTATATATGCACTTGTAGAGACAATCAGCGAATATAAATTTATGCAAATGTGTGAAGGAAAATGTGGAAAACAAAAATATGAAATAAAATATAAATCAATTATTCTGTACAGTTTACAAGCGTTTATCGTCGAGTGTCAGTCAGCCAGTCAACAATGGCAGCAAAACGTGCAAAGGCGTATAAAATATGAAATTCGCTCATTTTCCGTTGTGCGTGTGTGCGTAATACGAGGCTCGACCTACAAAGAACTAATTTCATCGCACCTACACAGTTCTAAGTGTTTATTGAAGGAGTGCGAATGCTTAAAAAATATTAAAGACACAATATTTTTTGTTTCAAATACGAAAATCGTTTACTAAGCTTAACGGTAACTATATGCGATAAACAGCGTAGCTGTGTCGTGCAAACGCTGCCAATAAATATACAAAAAAAGATAATTTGCGTAAAAGTGGCACCACTCGTTTTTTCCTTTTCTCTTTTGAATCAGCATTATAGGCCGGAGAACCGAGTCCATTAAAAAATCTTAAACCTAAATTAGAAACCGACCAGCTTGATTTAACTCTGGACCATCTCGCTCTCCTTTGATGACGGGATCATCTCTTCGCTACGGTCGGGAGTTTTTGGATGAATCGGGATGATTTCTCAAATACATGAGGTACTTCTCTCTGATCCATGCTTAACCGATAGGATACTAAGGTCTTTATGAATGTTACGATATGAACGCACCACGGTCATCCGTTCTTATCCTAAGTATTTTCTCAATATTTGCTTTATAAATGCGTGGTAAGTAAGTATTTTTCAGTTTTAGTCTCCAGTTTTTTGTGTAAAAGCCATTTGAAACCAGTTGCTTTTAGTTTGGGCATCTGTGTGCCTTTTTCCAGGTGAGCCCCTCTATGTATACTACTAATTTTCCGCACTGCTTTTTTCGAATATGACAAATTACATTTGCCATTGGTAAAGTAAAAAGACGAGTATTCACATCGAAATAAGTAAGTTTTAACCTAACCTTAACCTAATTATGGAAAATATGCCAGAAAGACAAAAAACTGCATGAAAACGCTGTCTTCCAAATTAAAAGGGTATTTTTTCGCAAACTTCTTGACATGCGCCTCTTTGCTTCGTTTTCTTAATCCTCAATGAGTTCTAGACGTAAAATATTTTGGTTCTTCATTTTTCCTTAAATTAACTACAGCAAATCAAACAGCATATTGTTCTGTACCTCCGATTTTGCCGGTATCAAAACTTACAGGGTGACAGTGAACTCGGAATACGAAATAGCAACAAAGTTCACTGAATGGTAAATTTTAATACCAAAGCAAATTTCATTACCTCGACAGAATTGGCCTGTTAATGTATGAATTTCATACACCATCTTATTTTTAATATACATACACATATACGATAGCTCACGCTTTTTCACAGAATCTGCTCTACTCATTCTACTGCTATTTTCTTGTATTTATTTACACTCGGTTTTATTTATTTATGTGTTTGTACTCATTGGAGTGCGTGCCAATGCATGTAAATTATTTATAATATTCTGAGAATGTATTTTTTGCTTGTTTGCGTTGTTGTTAAGTTTTTATGCTATTATGTAATCTTTTGAGAAATTATTTATTATTGTTGCTTTTTGTTTTCTTTTTCGTTCTAATGCTGTATGTTGGGACTTTATTGACTTTTTACTTGTCCAACGCTTGAGTGTTGGTGCACGCCCCTTTCCAGATAATTAGCTGTAAGAGGTTTTTTATGTCTACATTGAGAGATTCCACAGCCATGGTGGTACATTTGAAGAAGTAAAGAGATAAAGAAGTCCACCTTTGCTTTTCGAAAATTCGGGACCGTTCCTCCTGTATCGATTGCGTATGCTAGAGACAACTTCAGAATTCGGTGGCAATTTGCATAACACCCTTAAGTTAGTCAAACTTTATCTTATCGTGGTTAAATTTCAATAGTGCCTTAATGGTGATGTTATCCTCTAGACGTAGATGTTTTGTAGGAGAGAAGGATGCCATCTCAATTTACATCGATCGATTCAAAATGTAAAAATCTTTTCATCTACAAAATTGTTCTAGTATCTTTTCAAGCGGAGGAAATAGGTCTGATTGTTGCCAACGACTAATTCAAACGTTGTCTACAATTGTAGGAGGGCTCCCAGCTCGCTGGCAGGTCAACTTGTCGTCTCTTCAGTATGATCTCTCAGCCTTAGGTACATTTTCGCTAACGAAAGCGCTGATGATCGGACCAAGTTAGGAGCATCTTTTGTTAGATCGGAACCGGAATTGGTAAGAGAGATCGCACCTTCACAGAACAGTCGGCGGGATAGTCTGCTTTCGGGTGCTACATACTACCAATAAGTTTCAGTGTTTTATAAGCGAAGGTTGCTGCTGTTGAGGAAGCACTGTTTAGGAGAATGACTTTTTTTGGTGTGACAGGCAAGCATTTACTAGGGTATCGGCAATTGCTTCTCTCAATTCCTTCGCAGTGAGCTCGAAGATTGTAGCAGAATGTTTATTACCACATAGAAAGTTTATTGTTATGGGCAAATTAATTCTGAGGGCGCTATCAGCTCGTTTCCTGAGAAGAAATGTTACATTGCCAATGCGCATTCCATTTCTGGAAAGACGGTACTAGAATCAGTTAAATAAGCACATTCCCCATCCTAGATCAAAACTCCAGATCAGTTCCGTCTGAGCTTTGTCTGATTGACATTCAAGGCTTGGTAATTTGTCGAGTCTGCGCTTTTGCTAGACTTAGACTGACCACTTTCGGAACGCATATGTTTAATAATTCGGGAGAGTAGCTTCTGACATGCACTAAGCAATTTACTATCTTAACATAACCTTTGAACCCATTTACATCAACTGCTTTACAAATAGACTTCCATATTATTTATTGAATTTGCATAATTAAGCGTAATTTTGTTGCGATTATGACCATTAACGAGTTGCATAATTATTTTCATAAAAAGTTGCGCAATTGAATTACCCTCAAGTCGAAAAGTTTGTTCGTTTCTCTCTGAAAATTTAAATCATTTTCGCTCATTATTTGTTATTCTCCAATTGAAATGTTGGAGGGCAGCAAGTTTATTTTTCTCTTCGCATATTTATGTCTGCGTTGATCCCAAAGTTTTATTTGCAAAAACGAGTACACGAAGGGAAGAGTGGACCGTAGAGTGGGTTATGACCTTTCCACTGTTAGCTAACGTTTCCCTGCTGAAAAGTGTTTTCAAATTTCGCCCAAATTGGTGCCAAAGAGTAAAGTTTTGCTATGTAGTTTATTTTTTCCGTGGAATTGGGTTAAATGCTGGTCAGGCCAAATGTTAGTTGGATAAAAGTTTATTCTTTCTTGGTGTTGGTTTTGCTTAGTGAAAAATGAATCAGTGAATGAGGGATAAGCGCCAACTGGAGGTAACCTGGAGCACTGCAAGGCTGTGCGGACAGGGTGTTAAATATATACATGCAATCATATACTTATTATTATAACCAAATATGAGATGCTGCGCTTCCCTCCCGTCCTCTTCTATATTTCTAGAATCGTCCAAGATCAGCTTTTTATCACTCTCTACAAAAGTGTCCGCTTTCAACCAGAACTGAATGCAAACCTGGCTGTCGCTGCCATCCAATGGGTAGCAATGGTCTGTGCTGGTGGGTGGCAGCTTCGAGCGGGAGTATAGTAAAAGAATTCAAATGAAAATTTAATGCAAAAAGAATTGACTACTTTTTACTAGACCTAAGAATCAAAATCCGCATAAAATGACAATATCTCCTGTTATATTTCTGTCATAGGAATATCAGCTTCGCTTAATAATTCATTTAACAGTAAAAATATACTACAACACTTTATGTATAATATACAAACCTCAATTTTTTCCCACACAAATTTCATTCCCACTCCCTCTCTTTCTTTGCAGGAAACAGCTTCTACACGCATACCGCGCCTGGATGGCGCCTCACGTATACCCTTACCCGGCAGCCTGCGACCGCCCAGCTCAACTGTACAGGCCGTCTCCGGCTTGGCATCACGTACAACACAAATTTTTCAACGCGCCTCCACTGTGGGCCTCCCACATAAGCGTCCTTCGACATTGGCTGGTCTGCGACCGTCTATAGTGAGCGCGAACGCCCTAAAACGCAGTGCATCGGGCGATCACATTACTAATGCCATGAGTTTGGTTACTAAGAAAACGACTACTGCACTCAAGAAATGGATAGGGAAACCTGAGAAAATGCTGCCGCCACCAGTGGCGCCCAAGGTGCACAATGGTATGCAGCTAAATAAAAATAAAAGAAAACCTGCATCAGCAAACAAAGCGGGGTCCGTCGTAACAGCACCTGATTGTCTCGGCACGCCACGCCCCCAACTTACACGCTCCGATACGTTTGTACGCACCGATAGTCCTAACGACAATGACATTATAAACTTTACACCCAATTTACTAACACAGTCGACGCCAGCGCCACCTACATGCGGCGCGCTCACAACAACACGCATTATCCGTCCGCCGGATATCAATGAGACAACGAAACTGCTTAGCAACAACACACGCCACGCTCTCTACACCACACAGAGCCTGGATATAAGTCAATTCCAGCCAGCGGCCGAGTTCGGCGAGACTTTCGAGGCAAGCATGAAGCGTACAATGACGCTGGATGAGACGAAGAGAGACACCACCATCAGCCTTAATAACCAATACTCGCCGAATGCAACAGAAGCAATATTAAAGCCCAATTTGACTACAACTTTTAATGCGCCTGCATTGCTTGGTCAAACCATGAATGTGATCGCAAGTTCAGATACTTTTACTACCAAGCCACAAAGCAGTTCGCTGGACACCGTACTGCTGGAAAACACATCCTCCTTGGGCGGAGGGAAGATTATCGATCATGCTGATGCGATCTCACCGATTACTAATGCCACGTACTCCAATCCTGATTCGCTGGATAACCTCCAATTGCTCGAGGATGTGTCTGCGCCATCCGGTTTCCTCGAAATGGATCTCACCTTACACTCAGAAAGCGCCAGTGAACATGAAAAGATGCGAGATAATTTAATAGACTGTTCAGGTTGCTCAGAGCTCGATGATATGGATAGTACCCTTAAGCCATTGGCGCCGGAAAAGACGCACATGAGACTGCCACTTAACTCGACTGCGAATTCCGAACGTTTGCTGGATCTTACCACCAATATGCTTTCGCCGTCGAACCGACAAATGCACATGATGAACTTGACAAAAGATTATCTGGATGCACCGGCAACACGTAACACGAGTCAACTACTTTATATGACTCAAAATGCTTACGCGGGCTCAGAACGCATTGTGCCAGACCGTGCTATCGGCATGAAATACCAAGATCAAACTCATCTGCTCCCCTCACCTCAAGTCGGACTCAAAGGGGCGCATAGCGATTTAGTCCTACCCACACGCACGCCAGATGATGAACCGTTAAGTGTGCCGATGGAAGTAGATGCTGGTGTACTACTCGGAGTGGATGCACCTACCGAAGGCTTTTATTTGTCGCGTAATGGTAAGCGCGGTCAGACTGTTGGCAACGCTACTTCACTGCAAGACGTCAATGATCCGAGTGGGAATCAGAAGTCTCGTTATTCCTTTGGCTTGGATCTCACTGAGTCGACGCTTGATTGCTCAATCGACTTGGTAGATGCGTCGCTATCGTCGAATGCTGCTGGTCAGAATACTGGAAATAGTTCCTTCGCCGCTCATCCACACTCACCGTCTAAGCAAATCCAGCTGCAGCATCAGCACCAACAGCTGCAACCTTTACGGCGACAGACCTCCTTCGAATTGGATGAGAGTTTGGGCATATTGACGCCCGATCAGATGAAAGAGTTCTTGGATTCCACAAATACTAATAACACCAACAATTTGGAGCTGCCCCTGGCTCATGCGCAGAACAAAATGGCATTTCATCACATGCGAATAGATCAGACGCCTTCGCCGGAGGAGCTGCCGCTCGATCCGGTTGAAGTTAAGACTGATGTCACAGAGCTTTTACTCTCCCAACAACAACAACAACGCCATCAGGCTGATTTATTTGATTCCACACTCACTCTGCAACACCAGCAACAATTGCAGCAACGTCAACAGCAACTACAACAACAACAATTACAATCGAGCTCAATTAGCACAGCGGAAACGATATCCACTAACACTGACACTGACATTTCTTCAAAAACGTCGGATGCTATGACCAAGTCTAATGTTTCGAAAATCTCCACCAGTTTCATCACGAGCGTCACCAGCGTAACGAGCTTGGATACAGGCTATCAAGGTGATGGCGAAATGTCGCGGCCAGCTTCACGCGGCGCCTGCGATCACTCGCCTTCTAACGGCCCCACAGCCCGTAAGGGTGGTCACGTCTCACGCCAACCAAGCTTTAATCAACAGCTGCAACAGCAACAAATGCCACTGGTGCGTCGTCAAGACCCCATGACCGACTCTGATTTCTTCACCGAATCTGATGCGGATGACATCTTTCATCGTGGCGATCGTCGTGCTCAAGTGATTGACGGCCAGCTATACGGACCGATGCTACAGCAGCCTGCAGCCTCCGTATTCATATCTGAGGATCCCGAAGATTCCTGCATGGAATCATCGGGCATCTTCACAGACGTCGAGAATCGTTGCGATGATGATTTGGCTCAAATGCGACGCCAAGACACACAAGACGCCATGTTGGATATGTCGCCAGAGGGTGATGGTGAAGATTCCACAGAAACAGTGAAAAGTAACCGAGGCTCCGGTAAACATTTGCTGAACAACGAACGACAATCCAACAAAAGTGAAATCAACGCCAATGGCGACATTACTGTTACCACCACAGCGCGAAATGTTGCTGCCACCACAACACTCGGTCAAGGTCAGTTGAGCAACAGTCAGACCTCCTCAACTATACACAGCAGCATGAGCACCGATCGTCTCTCAGCAGCGACGCTCTCCAATCGCACTTCATACTGCAGTGTCGACGGCAATACCGTGAATGCGGACTGCAAAAGCTTCTCCTCGCTGGAAGAAGCTTTCGATGAGAGCACCTCAGCGCTAAATGTAAACGAAACTATCAACCACACTATATTGAGTCCAGCAAGTGCTGAGTGCACAAGACGATCGCGGCTCTCCACAACTGGAAACGACAACAGCGGCAGCGCAAATATTCGTTCTGGCGATGAGTGCTCGGCTGGGGTTGAATCAAAACAGCGCTCGTCAGTGCAGAGAGTGACTCCACCGCGTAAGCACGCGTCGCTAACTTCGCTCTCAACAATCACGGCAACTAATGCCGCATTTAATGGTGCTAAAATAGGTTTAGAATACGACGAAAATAAATCCGCCGCTTTAGGTTTAACGGTAACGCGTGGTCGCGCACTAATAGAAGGGGAAACGCATTCGGAAACGGGAACTGCCGGCACACAAGCGGCTGGCGCCTCAACGTCATCTTCAACAACCTCGCTGTCGTTGGGTAACCACAACAAGACCATACACCATTCCGCTTTGGAAGCTGCCGTTGCTGCAGCCGCCGAAAAACACACAGCTACTGCGGGTACCGCGAACAAAAGCACGCCGCGTGCGACGACCACGTCTACGAAATTTGCATCCGCGCGTAATTCGCCTAAACTAAAGCAACAACAACACGCGTACACCGGTTCGGTCGCGAGTGTCGGCGGTGATATAACGGTAAATGTGCGTAAAAAGCAGACACCCAATAAATGGGAAGCAGTGATGAATAAGATCCAAAGCAACAAAGCGTTACCAAAGAAAAATCTTAAAGAAGTGAAATCAAAAGTGTCGACAATATTACGCCCCAGTAATGGGGTAGTGGGTGCTACAGCTGCGGGTGGCGGTGGTGTTGCCGCCACCGCAAATGGTGTCGACTCAACGAGGGCGCGGCTGAGTGGCAGTGGCGGTTTACAGGGACGCTCGAGCGCCACCTCCACACCGCTCATCCGTCGCTCGCCAACTTCGAGCACGATGAGCTCGCGTACGAACTGCAGTCCAACAACAACAGCGCAACAAGTGTCGAAGCGGCTATTTCAGGGTGTTGCCGCTAAACGGTAAGTTTCATGGAATATTAATTTTGGTCACGAAACGGCACACATGCGTCCATAAATATGGGGGAAAATAGAACAAATATAAAAAGATAAATATTTACTTGGTTTTCGCATTCCATTTCGCCTTATCTGCCTTGTTGTGCTCAAGTGATTGTCAAGTGTACAAGTAACGTGAAAAGACAGTCTATCAGACAAGTATTTATTGAGCTAAAGAGTATTTGATATTTGCTTATCGCCTCTATCTTTTTGGATTCGTTTTAAGTAAGTGGCGTTTCCGTTATCTTTCTCATTTTTTATTTATTATTTTTGCAAATGTGTGAACAAAGCGACATCGTTGTTCCCCAAGTTAGTGGGTTCTAAGTCGTCGGCTGTCTAAAGCTACCGCTTATGGCGCATTTTCAGGCGAGCTTTGCGCGGTTAAATAAATAATTCGAAATTTTTTTGTTTTTTTTTGTGCTGACTTTGTTTGTTGTTTGTGTATTTAATACTCCCATTGCTCTAGCTAAAATAAGCCACGCTGAAGTCAACTTAATTTCTTTCTAATTACATTCTTATGCTTAGTTTTGCTTTTGTTTTGGCTTTTAATGTTTGCCACTTGAATAAACAGTGGAGAGCAGAAACAGAAAGTGCTCTCAAGTACCTCAACACATACATCTTTTCTGGAGCACTCCTTAGTACTAACTTTGAAAATCTAGAAAATCCAGACCCTTCACATTGAGGTGTAGCCGGCACTCCTTTTTCCAGCTGGTGAAATGAGAAAGCGAGGATTCCGCCGGCTCTAGTTGCAGTTGTCGTGCAGTGACGAGTTGGGAAAGGTCGGAAAGATAGCAGTTTACTTTCGAGCATAAGCTATCAACGTCCTGACCAGAAGCTAATATCGAGCAATCATCGGCATCTGAGATCAATGAAACGCTCTCTGGTGGAGGAGGGAGTTTCGAATTGTATAAATTTAAGAGGATACCATTCTGGGGATCCTCTTGTTTAATCTTACGCTTAGAAGCTTGACCTCAAAGAAAGTCTCTACTGATGACTTTCGAACACTCAAATAGCTCGAATTCTTGGGCGTGTTTCGATTACGTCTATCGGAACTTCGCAGTTGGACATTTGGTGTCCGGATTTCTTTTAACATCCTTTTTTTCTATATTTTTACCTCAATTTCCTTTTTCTCGATCCGGTACTCGATTACCGGTCTAAGGAATTATTCGTTTATCTTTCAGACGCACTCTTTCCTTTTCTTAGACCCACTTTCAAGTTGGAATTTATAAGTCGTACTTACCCTTTTGATTTCAATTGCCACTATTTGTTCTGTGCAAGAATTATCCAGTTTTAGATGGTGGGAATTTCTCCCTTTTAAGATCTAAACTAAAAAAAATCTGATGTCAGATATTTTCCAACTACAACCAAAGAGAAAGACTAAGTTTGGGTGGAATTGAACATTAGACCCTCGGCTGATCAGAGCTCTGTCGATTATATACATAATTGGCGCTTTGTGACCGTTTAAGGGATTTTGGGCTGAGCTCCTCCTCCAATTTGTGATTTTGCGTTTTGATGTGTTTCCAACAGATAGAGGAACCTACAGTTTATACTAAGCCGCCTCTGAACGACTGATGGTTTCTTGCGAGCAGCCTTTATTTTATTTTCGAAATACACTCGGAGCGGTGGACATTCCCTGCCGAGGGGCGACCGCGATTAGAAAATTTAACTTAACTTTTTATTTAAATTAATTTCTATAATTTTTGGGTGTTGCACGCACCGGGATTTGAACACCGGTATTTCGGACTCTGTCGGTTAGTGCCTCAAGTAATCGTTCTTTAGTCAAATCGGGGGTGGAGAAGAAAGGTCACATGCAACTAGTGTCCATAGCAGACCATAGGCATTAAAGTTTGTGTCGTCACTCGACTTTCGCTCCTTTTGGGGATGAGAAGATGAAAAATCCTGCAAATTGATTTAAAAATAAAAATAAATCTTCTCATTAAAATGTTTGCAGTCAGAGAAATTTGGTTTTCTGTCACTCTTGAACTTTGATTCCTTCATTTTTACTTTTACCTGCTCTAATAACAAAAGGAAGTCTACACGATTAGAACTTTCAAATGCATTTTTAAATACATATATACGTAGTTATGCTATTTTACGGCAAGATTCATGTATGTATGTATGTATGTGTGTCACATAAGCGTAAACTTTATACGCCGTCAATAAATCGTGCATTATACATACTTGCTAATACATACACCTATGTATGTATGTATGTATTTATGCTTGTTCATAAAATATGTGGTTGCTATTCGGCGTCGACACACTATTATGACAAGTGTCACAGAACTGTCAAGTCCCGGCGACGGCGACACGCACAACAAAACAAAATGCAGCGCAAAGTCAAGTTAAGGCAACGAAATGACGGAACGCAACGCGACGCCACGCCACGCAAGTCAACGCATTCATTGTTCTAATTGTTCACTACTCAAGTGTGTCGAGTTGTTGTTGTTGTTGGCTAGTGACCTGTGGCTGGTTATTGGTTGCGGTGTTGATGCAATATTTATGCTGATCGCTGCCACTAAGCATTCAACTATTCACATTTACCGCATATGAGTTCATTCTTCGGCAAGTAAGTATGTATGTATGTATGTATGTATGTGCATACATACGAGCGAACGCATATTTATTGCAATTTTTTATATATTTTTATATATTTATTTTTTTTTATAATTTCTTCTAACTGTTGTCAATATGAATTTTCGTTGGGGCTTTGATGCAACACTTTTTGCGGTTTGGCATTTTGGTTTGGCGTAAACAATTATAAGCACAGGTGAATATGTGCATACGGGTATATACAAAAATACATAGTTGTACTATATGAGTCTGACTATAAACACTGGCAACTGGCAACTGGCAGCTGGCAACAGTGCATAAAAACCGGAACGTCTTATTGGCACATCAAAGTCTCGATGTGCCAGACTGCGCGCTTGAAAAATGAGTACATATGTACATGCATTCATATATACATACATACGTTTCAAATGCATAATAGCCAAATAAACGCAAGGGTAATTGAAAGTTTCACTACACACACACAAGCACTAACACAGATAAAAGAAGTAATGAATTGTGCCAACTGTTTTATGAGTAATTGTAGAATTTTAGTATCAATGGTTACGAGTGATATCTGCTCGCACATCGTTACATATCGGCAGGTGCTATCATTTCAATATGCCCAGGTCCATACATATGTACGAGTATGTATATGAATATGTACATATAAATGTGCCATTCGCTTTTAATTCAAAGCAACTGCATTATTCTCATAAACAGTTTCGTATTTAATGCGTACTTAAACTCAATACCATTTTCAATTAAATGGAGAAAAATTGAGAAAAATGGTAGAAAACAATAAGTGTGGAGTTATGGAAGTATTTTTTAATTGCACTTAAGTTTCGTTTGACTTTCGGTGGCTTGCAATCAGTCAAGAGTTGATGGACGCTGCGTGTGCGCTGAAGATTATGTGAGACTTGCTTTTGCTGTCAGCATGGTGTAGGTACTTACACGGTATATATGTGTATAAATATTTACTAATTTACTTCGGGTTGCTTACAGACATGTATGTAAGAATATTTGTATTTATTTGAACTTGTTTTTGTCGTTCATATGCACATACGAGTATATTATGCTAAAATAAATATTTGTGGCAGTAGAATGAGTAAAATAAAGGGTGTCTCCAAAGGCTAATAATGTGAAAAAATATTTCTTTAACATTTCTTGGTCGAATGGATAACAAAATTTGATGAAAATCGCTGACTGACCAGTTGGTGGTTTAGCTTAATTTCAGAAGAAATAGCAGTCGCTTAGTGTAACAGAGGAGGTATTTTAAGGTCTACTCATGGTAATCTCCCTACCTTTCCTGTGCTTTTTCTGCTAATTTCTAATTTTAGAAGAAAAAAATATTTAAAAATGTTCCAATCCAGGAAAAATAAATTTGATAAGTGTAAAACTTTTACTTATAAGAAAAAATCTGGCAACACTGTAACTGAGTCGCGATCCTTTCAAGCCTGCGTGCGTATAAAGTGGTTGTATTTTCCTTTGTTGCCATCGTAAATGATTTTGTTGGTTGGTTTAGATTTTTAAAATAATTTGATTGAATTTTCTTAATTTGGAGAAAATCATTTCAGCGAGCTGTAAAGTGTTATTGTGAACTGTCGAAGTGAATTAAAAGTAACAAGACCGCATGGCAATATTCAACGAAGACTCCTTCAGTCATCACTTTCGTGTACAGTCGAAGATCGAACTCAGTTCGTAATAAAGGCGTAAATCTGCGCTTATATTTGGTGTTGAGTTGGTACATTTGAAGCCCCAAATAAGATGAGATAGCTAAGATTTGTATTTTATTAAAGCACCACTCTTCTCAAAACATTTAATGGGTCCCTGCACATTTTGTTTAGTTACTTTATCCAATGAATAACTCTCCTTTTTGCTTAATTTTTAAAAAGTCTCGAAATGGTGGAGATCAATGTAGACTTCAGAACTTAACTTGAATGAAGTTGTTTCTTTGCTTAGAATTCATGTAATGGTTGAATTTGTTGCTCGCAACACACTTCTTCAAATCACTCTAGTGTACTACATACATATGTACTCGTATATGTACATACTAACGGGTCATAACATTGTAACAAAATTTTGCGTTTACTTAAATGCTTTTCAGCGAAAAAAAAAACTGGAGACCGCTAAATTTTATGGCGCATTTTACACGTATAAATAAAAAAACCAGTATTATTTTTGTATGTATGTTGTATGCATACATATATAAGTACATACATTTCAATATATATAATATTTATTCATACGGTTCATAAATTAACATAATCACATCATTTATTTTGCCGGCAACTATTTATGACCAGCAAAGAGATAGACAACAGCAGGCAATCTTTTTCCTATAACAGCAATGTCTGTAAATATGTAGATAAGTGTATACAGAAGTACATAAATGTATGTTTATCATTGTTGCCTAA